CTATATATATATATATATCTATATATATATATATATATATATATATATATATAGAAATCACATTATAATTATTTCTCTTGAAAAATTAAATACTATAATAAACACTTTATTATATTGAAAGCATTTGCGTGAAACGCATTAAGGGAGACATACTTATCTCATAATCTCTAATTTAATTCAACAAACTTTCTTTATTTGTACTTTTTTACAGTACAGTACACAATGTACACACATCGAGCGATGCACACGACGCCAACGCAGTGCGTACGGTGCATACTCAATAAATGCACAGATAACGTGTGTTTAAATTCTAATTGCAGAAATTAGGAAATTAGATTAACCTTGCCGATCGCGAAAAAGGTCAATATATATGTCGCAGTCGAGAGACGTAGGCTTAATAGAAGGATTCGCATTGCGACTCGTGTACACGGACTCTTCGAGCTCAATCGATGCTCAGACTCTGTAATTTTTTTCACAAGTGCGCAATTTCGAGCGACGAAATGCGCCATATAGTTACCGCTCGTTATCTCGTAATTATCTGCGCTCTCATTATCTCGTAATTATCTCTGTATCATAATCGAGTTGTTAGTTCTACATCAATCGCGAGAGGGGGATCATATTCATTCGTAATTCTATTCATCGCGCGAATATCGCTATAAATAAATTCTTTTCGTTTTCACCAATTTCCAATTAAACGGATAATGGATAACCTGGATTATATCGCACGCTTGATTATATCTACAAATGAACTTTATTGTACCTACAATTGAACTTGATTATACCTGCTCATTGTATATAATAGACTGACAGTAATAATAATGATTAAACGCAATCATAAAAAAAGCGTTCATTTGTCATTTCTGTCATTTGAAGATATTACCAAAGATTACTCAAAATAACCGAGCAACTAATCTTCGATACGTTTCGTGTCTTACGTGATATATGTCAAAACTCCTACGTCAGTATACAATTCATAATTCAGTGGCACCGGTTCATTTTATAGTTCATTGGCGTAGTATCTGGTATCTACTAACTGCTCGTTTGACTATGAATCTAGGTCAAGTTAAGATAAATGACAGCGGTAACACTTCGCAATACTCTGTAATTGTGGTGTTTTAATTAATAATGCGACATCATTAAACGAGCAGCAAAGTAGGATTGCTAATGTAGGGTATCGATCATGAATTGCATTAATCTTGTCTTGCAAATTCGCATTAGTCTTGTCTTACAAATCGAATCCTTTATGCATTTTAACAGGACGCGAATCTGACGCCAGAGGAGAAAATATTGGAGCAGATTACCGCAGCGGAAACTGAACAACGTCTGACAGCCAGGCGGAAATTCCTGGCGGAAAAATGCGCCGAGGAAGGACTCGATCGTCCCGGCAACGATTCGCTTCACAGACCAAACGCCTGGGAGTTCCTTGTAAATAGAGAGTACCATCTTATATGGTGCAACGTTTTCAAAGCTGCGTCTACATCGTGGATGTATAACTTTAATTTACTTGCAGGGTAAGTCCTCGTTCCTCGTTCGTCGTTTACGTAACTAAAGTTTCTCGCGGAAGTGATGACAGCAAGCACGACGGAGATAAAGCATGTGCCACGTAATTTGTCGCTGCAAATTGCATACAATTATAAAAAGATAATATTGTAAGATAAACATTAAATTATTTTAACTATCCCGGACATACGCGAAGTTTCCTATTTTTTTTTTTTTCATTTCCTGACGTCCTATTAATTAGCTAAAATGCTAATAAATTCACCGAATGGCGGGATTGACGTAATTGAAACGTGATTAGTCAACATTGCGCATTTACCTTGCAGATATAGTCCGCAATTTCTGAAGGCCTCCAAAGCGGTGCCAGTCTCATTGGCTAGACAGAGATATCCTAGATACACCGCCGAAGAATTGGCTAAATATCTGAACGACAGCATCAGTTTTTTGATAGTGCGGCATCCATTCGAAAGATTGCTCAGCGCCTATCGAGATAAATTGGAGCACAGTCTACCGCATACATTTCACAGCAATCTTGGTGCACACATAGTCTGGCACTACAGGGCAAGGGTAATGTTTTTCGATACAATTTTTAAGCATAATACTCATATTCATGCTAGACAAGTTATTCCTAATTAGAATAGAATCATAGTTAAACAATTTAATGATAATTATTGACTATTCCTATGTTTTAAAATCTTTTTCCTCGTATTAAAGACATCATTTTTCTAAAATTTCCTAATTTTTTATCAATTACTGTTTTTATTTTGTTGAAACATTAAAGCCAAAAAATATTTAAAGCTTAATATTTTTTTATAATATTTATGCCAAACAAGTTATTCCTAACTTTTCCAACTAGAATCATAATTAATAAACGATTTAATGAGTAATTATTTTTAACTAGTCTTGTTGTTAAATTTTGTTAAATATCTTTTTATTTTATTAACATTAAACTCATTAAAATCAGAACACTAAAATCAGAAAATCCTATTATTTTTTATACAAGAAAAAAATATTAATTTAAAAATATAGAAACAGTCAAAACCGATTGCTTGATACTTTTAATGTTAAAATAGCTCTTTTATTCCCTATAAAATATAGGATCCGAAGACGAATACAAGGCAAGGGCCGAGATATCCGCTTTTCGAGGAATTCGTGCGATGGCTGCTATGTCAGTGGAGAGCGGGAAACGATCTCGACATGCATTGGACACCAGTTGTAAACTTTTGCACGCCCTGCCAAGTACGATTCGACGTGATAGCTAAATTCGAGACGCTGCATGTAAGTAAATTCGATCATTAGCAGAGACAAGCAATTTTGCTATATTTTTAAGAAAATATTCAATTTGCAGAACAATTAAACTAAAAGATGTATTTTGCAAAATCAAAAGACTCATTTGAAAATTGTCTCTTTCTTGTTAAAGGACGATCAAGACTATCTTATCAAGCAAGCCCACGTGGGGCACATCATCAAACCCGAGTGGAAAAACCCAACTAGAGGCGTCCAGACGAAAGATGTTATAAAAAATTACTTCACGCAGTTATCCAAGACGCAGATTGACGAGCTCTACGAGATGTTTAGGTACGTTTGCAGGATTCGTAAAATCTATATTTGTAATTTCGCATATGAAGAAGAATACGAATAATCATCATGCGTGCATCGTAAAATATAAGATCTTTACATTTTACAGATATGATTTCATACTGTTTGATTATTCACCTGATGAATATCTAGCATTTGGGAGAGACGAAATCACTACATTGACATGTAAAAAATGATCCCGGATTTCGTCTATTATGAAGATATGTGAAATAGAGTGAGGCGCATACGACATACAACGAAATTGTAGGTAGCGCTTAAATGAATTTGAAAGAATAGGAAGTATGATACTAGATATGTATATAGTGATCGATGCATTTCTTATACGGGATTTCATAAATGAAAGGATGTGTCTTGATTTTGTAATACATATAAACTGCGTTATCAAACTGAGCATTTTGATAGCAAATATGTTAAAGTTTATCGAATTGTTATGAAATATATTGAAGGATAAAACAAAAATTTATCATCAACTACGACGATGCAAATATCTTGCAAATATGAACTTATAGTCCGTTGCTTGCGTACTTAAATTGTTAAAATAAACTAAATTTTTACATATTTACAGGTGTCTGAAAGCTTTATCGTTCGGTATTTAATCGTTTAAAATTTTCACCCTTTTAATTATCTTCCATTTTGATAAATATAACATAGATTGAGTTAGATTCCATTAATAATAAAAATTGCTAAAGCCTTCGAATAGAAATGCAAAATTGATTTAAGAAAGATTTAGATTAACCCCTTGCGTTGGAATCACATTTCCTCATAATATCTCCAATATAATTAATGTAGATTTGCTTTGTGATTAACATTTCACAATTGAAAAAGATCATCAAACACAAATTATTAATTTCATGTTTTAATTAAATTAATAATTAATAATTAAAATTAATAATTAATAATTTAATAATTAAAACATATTTTCTTTGTTTTTATTTTTGCTATAATTTTGACATATTAGTTCTTAAAATATTAATATTATAAAAAAGATTCTAAAAGAGAATTATTTGGATTCTAAAAGAGATTACAAAAATTACAAAAAAGAGATTATAAAAAAATTGTATTTCATTATTCATTATAGTTATCAAAAAAATCAAATTATAATGTATATCTTTATTTTTTTTTAATGTCAACTTAAATAGATGTTCGCACAAGAGTCAAATAAATATCAACTTAAGGGGTTAAACAAATTTTAATACATAACACATGAAATTGAAAAGAATTTGATAGCCTCAGTTTTGCAAAGCAATAAAATTATCTTCTAATTATATCACCAAGTTGTCCCTGACAACTGCACAATAATCTTTATAAGCATGAATAATAATGTAGTACCATTATAACAACGGTAATAGTACTGCCTCAAGGAAACATGATGCAAAATGTTAAAATATATAACTTATCACGACAACATCACTCTAAGATGCAGACATTTCATGAATTATATTGTTTCGAAAAATAAATAAAATTTAATATATTTCCGAGTAAAACAATGAATCAATCAGCAATATGTGTGCATATATTTCGCTGTAATAGAGAAATCAATTAAAATAATTGGTTAAAAATTTCAAAACTTAAGTCTTGAATAAAATATTTACACATGATTGCGAAATTCTAATAATTAAATTTGAATGAATCTCAACGTTACAAATTTCTATACTTGTAAAATAAAATACATTGTTGAATAAAGAGCATTTGTACAATATATGTAAAATTTTCTAGTCTCTCCTATACTTTTACAATTATAGATATATATAAATATACAATGAATGAAAATTCATTATATCGGAGATAAGTCAAATGTGACAATTAATAAACCACTTACCAACAGGATTTATTGAGCAATTCTATCCCAATAATCCATTTATCTTGGAGAATACATTGCCATTGCGAGACTATCTCCAAAATTTTCTCTGTGTTACTATTCCTGCTGCATTTCTGTTTCTTTATTATAGGTACTCCTTCGACAGTATACATCTGTAACATTAAATATATCCATAGTTTTTATTTAATCAAATTAAGTTGAAATTAATGGCCTATAAAACTAATTCAATTACTATAAAAGTTGCATAAATAAAAACTAAATTAATTAGAAGTTGCATCAAAATTAAATTAACTTAAATTAAAAATTAATTTAAAAAAATATTATTTATATTAAAATAAAATATAATTCTTTAAAGCTAGAGTTTTTAAGTAATAAAATAATTAAAATATAATAGAACATGAAAATTTAACATTTTGTTTAAGATTTTATATTTAAAAAATATAAACATTTAAAAAATAAAAATTTTAATTTAAAAAAAGTTAAAAGGATAAAGTAACATTTAAAAAAATAAGCAATTAAAGTTAAAAGGCAATTCATTCGAAATTAATTAAATTAAAAGCTATTAACCTTTTAACTTGATTTCTAATCAATTAGTTGCTATCCACTCTTGCAATATCATAATTAAATATTAAATATTAAGTTAATAAATAATATTTAAGAGCAGCAGAAGAGATATGAAGATCTCTATTAGATAAATTCCTGCTTGTATTACAACTAAAATATTGAAATTTGCAATATAATTGCAATACTTATAATCAAGAGAATTACCTACAAGTTTATATAGAGCAAAAAAAAAGCAAGAATAAATAATTCATTTGATATGTAACATTTGATATGTAAGATTTGCATGACAAAGTGTGATAAAGTACACATACTTTTATTTATTAATAAATTAAATTTTTAAGAATCAAATTGCAAAATTCAGCTCTGTAGCAAGTCTTCATAGCTTTATAACAAATACATAGAAAAAAATCTCATGGTAAAATATTCTACAAGATGAAATATGAATGAACTCAAACAAACTTTATCTGCACCTAGATAAGAAATAGATATGGAATAGATAAGGAATAGATAAGAAATAGATCATTTATAACATTATAATTATTTAAGAGCTAAATTGCAAAATCTGGCATTATTACAAACTTTATAGCTTTATAACAAACACATAAACAAATTTCATGTCACAATATTGCTTCTAAGAAATGAAATGTGATTAAACTCAAACAAACTGTGCACCTGCACAGAGAATTATCCATAGATAAGAAAGATAGAAAAAGATAGATAGATATTGGAGTTGACCCATCATTCCTGCCATCTCTTAACGAAAAACTATTGCGATATTTCATGTCGAAATAAAGCTTTAAAAGACCAAAAGAAACCAAAAGTTACAAACGAATGGTGTACATCGCAAATAAAATTGTGCTACTACCTCGGAGTCCGAGTCCGAGCTGGCGTCTTCTCCGTGAATCGCGCGCTTCTCGAGGGCGTTCAAAATGCGCGCGGAGGTCGCCTTCGTCTCGGCGATCTCCTTCTTCGTGATATGGATCCTGCATACGACGTCGCTCATCTGGTTCAGCAAATGTTCCTCGACGGGATTCAACGCGGGTTGCGCCAGCAAGGATATCTCCTCGTCGCTGATAGCGAATATGTCATCGTCGCCGGACTCCATCGCTTTCGTTTATCTCTTCGTTTGTATCGTCAGTCACGACACACGTTGACAACACTGGCAAACACACGTCACCTTAACGCGCGGAAACTTCCGTTCTCCTCGTGAGAAAATCTCGAGTATAAACCAACCTTCAACCGGAGTTGAAACTCCGGTTTGAACCAATAGACAGGTTGGCGGACTCGCGTCACTACCGAAGTTTCAAACTTTTTGCAATTTCTTACGCAGGGCAGCCAACGCGACGGCGTTGAAACGATGCTCGAACGCTGACGCGTTCGCGAATAGTATCGGTCGGTAAAATCAATGCTCTACAATTGTCGTCTACGTGCAGCTCCAGCTGATAATCGCGAACGAGAGGCTTTGCCTACGGTTGCGAATCTCCAATAAATACCTCGACGGCACGTTGCGGAGAAGCGCGGAATGTCGCTGCTGCTGGCCAATTGCTTCCCTAGCAACTCATCCGTCCGCCCGTCCGTCCATCCGTCCGTCCGTCCGTTTGTTCATTCTTTCATCCATTTGTCTCCGCTGTGGCGTACGTAGAACCGGACGTTCACTGGTGAGATGTGCCTCTTTGCCCGTCGCAACTACGTCGTGAGGCCCGTCGTCGGACGGCGCGACAGCGTGAAAATGGCGGTGTGAAGAAATGGCAGGACGCAGATCGACGCTGTCGAATGCGGCGGACTCGCTGCCGGGATCTGGCGGCTGCGGCGGCGGCGGCGGCGGAGGCGGAGGAGCAGGAGGAGGCTGCAGCGGCGGTGATCCGCTACGTGAACTCTTTGAAGCCTGCAAGACCGGCGATCTCGCCAAGGTGAAGGCGTTGGTCAACCCGAAGACGGTCAACGCCCGCGACACTGCCGGACGCAAGTCCACCCCCCTGCACTTTGCAGCTGGTGAGTCGAGTTCGGGAGCTCCCGAGCGTCCGATCTCTCTTCGCTCTGGCTCCTCCCGGAGTGTAATTATTCCGATCGCTTCTCCGCGGGACAGGTCCCGCAAAGTCCTTGTAAACACGTGGACGCTGGCGGCGGTAGGAGGTTAATGAGCCAGCAAGCCACGTTCAGCTGATCGCAATTTGTCAAACGGAGCTGTCAAGCTGTAATCGCACATAATGGTTTCCTCATCATTGGCACGTGATTTTCGTTTAGGGCAATGCCATGACAAATTCTTTCGTGAATACATAACATGTGGAAGCTTTTAAATAGGGATGAGAGAAAATAAATTTGGAAAAGAATATGCGGAAAGGAATTTTGTTGACTGTAAATTCTGTTTGTAGCTATCAACACATCTTTATTTTTTCTTAAAGTATAATATTAACAAGCGCACGCCACCCAAATGTCTTTTATTTTCCATTAAAGTTTTTTTTCATTGATTTATAGATTTACCAAATATTATTTATTAATAAAAAAATTATAAAACCGTTTTATAAAATTTATTTAAAACAATTATAAATATATATATCCAGAAAAAAAAGAGAAATCCTTGTCGATGTAGAAAGAATGCTAAAAAGTCTAAATGCTTGCAATTAATATTACTAATATTAACACCCTCCATATATACAATTATCAAAATAGAAAATTTCTATGATGATAACTGTTCATGAAATAAATGCAATGAAAAAATCAATTAACATGGAAATAAAGCTTTGACATTTCGATTTATTTCAAAATTTTTTTAACATGCCTTTTTTTAAGAAAGAATTAGCATTTTAATATTTGCAATTTATATTTTTTTGGACGTTATTATAAATATATCTACAAGTATATCTATAAATATATTATAAATATATCACTATTAAAAGATTAATTTTAATTGGATGATAATAGATATTGTTAATATAAATAGATTATATTAATGCATGTTTAGTTTTATCTTTTTGTATAAAAAATATGATTCTAAATTTCTAAAATTGTAAGAACTTAAAATTTAAAAAAATAAATATGTGTATGTGATTTTATTGATAGCATACTTGAATCATATTCATTGTTTTTGCATGTGTATATTCATGCATGTGATTTAATATTTGTAATTTTCAGTTTCATATATAATTATATAATAATATAAAATATGTATAATATTATTTTATCTTAATATTTTTAATATTTTCTGTTATAAAAATAATTAAATTTATATTATACGAAATTTTAAAATCTCTAGGATATGGTAGGAAAGACGTTGTAGAATTCCTCCTATCCGCTGGTGCATCAATTCAAGCACGTGATGATGGTGGTCTACATCCATTACATAATGCATGCTCCTTTGGACATTGCGATGTTGTAAGATTACTCTTGGAAGCAGGAGCAAGTCCAAATACGAGGGATAATTGGAATTTCACGCCTTTGCATGAGGCGGCGATCAAGGTGCTTATTTTGTGGTATTTACATGATTTTGTCTTTGATACTAAGGGCTGAAGATGGAAATGGTATCTAACTTTTTCATCTTCATTTGTACTTGACAGGGTAAAATAGACGTATGTATTACTCTGCTACAGCACGGAGCAGATGTAAACATTAGGAATACAGAAGGAAAGACTGCATTAGAAGTAGCTGATGCCTCTACTAAACCAGTACTAACAGGAGAATATAGAAAAGATGAACTCTTAGAAGCTGCTAGATCCGGGAATGAAGAACGATTGTTGCAGCTATTAAATCCCCTTAATGTCAATTGTCATGCAAGTGACGGAAGAAGATCTACGCCCTTACATTTAGCGGCTGGATATAACAGATCTAGGGTCGTACAGATTCTTCTTCAGAACGGCGCAGATGTGCATGCCAAGGACAAAGGGTTGGTACATGCAAATATTCAAGATCTCGATGTAGCAAGATGGAAGAAGTTATTTTTTGCTTTATTTTAGTCATACTTGCTTTTCATTTTCATTGCATTCGTCACATTACTTCCCATTCAAGCACTATATCGATATTCCATCGAGATCTCTAATCGGCTTTGTTATAGAGGTCTTGTCCCGCTTCATAACGCTTGCTCATACGGCCACTTTGAAGTAACCGAGGCGCTTCTAAAACATGGTGCCGCCGTTAATGCCAGTGATCTTTGGACATTTACTCCGTTGCATGAAGCCGCAAGTAAATCCAGAGCAGAGGTTTGTTCTTTGCTGTTAAGTGAAGGTGCGGATCCAACGCAATTGAACTGCCATAGTAAGAGCGCTATCGACGTAGCACCGACTCTCGAATTACAAGAAAGACTAGCATGTAAGTTCTGAGCAGATCCTAGTATTTTTTATTCTTATTTCGTAAATACTTTGATCGTCATGCACTTTTTACAATAAATGCATAACTTACAGACGAATATAAGGGGCATTGTCTATTGGACGCCTGCAGACAAGCAGATCTTACTAAGCTGAAAAAGTATCTGTCTCAAGAAATTGTTAATTTTAAACATCCTTATACCGGCGACACACCGATGCATTGCGCAGTGGCATCACCGTACCCGAAGCGAAAGCAAGTTATCGAGGCCTTGATTCGAAAAAACGCTGCCATGAATGAAAAGAACAAAGATTTCCTTACGCCACTTCACGTGGCAACTGATCATTCGCATTACGACGCGATGGACATATTGTTACGGCATAATGCAAAGGTCAACGCGCTCGATGGCTTAGGACAAACCGCACTACACAGGTATCTTTGTTCTGAAAAATCACTCGTTTCAATGGTCGCCATCATAAGAAATGAGTGAGCCAGTTTTAATATTGTTAGTTCATAATGCGTCAATTAATTATTTCCTTATTAGGTGTGCTAGAGAGGATAATGTACAAGCTTGCAGAATACTTTTATCGTACAACATCGACCCTTCAATAGTGTCTCTTCAAGGATATACCGCGGCACAAATTTCCGCCGAGAACGTATTGAAAATATTGCAAGGTATTTGATTTGATTTTATAATTTATTTTGAAGAAACATTTTTCTTCAAGTTTCAAGTTTAATTTCGTAGATCCACCGAATGGAACTGATGATGTGGAAGCGCAACTCTTGGAAGCAAGCAAATCGGGTGATCTTGCTGCGGTAGAAAGAATCTTGCAAGCCAATCCACATGCTGTGAATTGTCGCGATTTGGACGGGAGACACTCGACTCCGCTGCACTTTGCAGCGGGTTTTAATAGAGTGCCGGTTGTAGAATATCTATTAGCTCATGGCGCAGATGTTCATGCCAAAGATAAAGGGTAATTAATTTAATATTAATATTACAGGGATAGAATACTAATTATTAATTAATGATTATCTTTTAAATATTTATATAGCTTATATTCATTAACTATTTATAAGATGTAGTTCAATATTCTTTATATATGAATTAAAATGTTCTTAAACATTATCTATCTTGATATAGTGGGTTGGTTCCTCTCCACAATGCCTGCTCATATGGTCATTATGAGGTTACGGAATTATTGGTAAAACACGGAGCGTCCGTGAATGTTGCCGATCTGTGGAAATTCACACCCCTGCATGAAGCTGCCGCCAAGGGCAAGTACGAGATAGTTCGATTATTGTTGAGACATGGAGCAGATGCCACTAAAAAGAATAGAGACGGTGCAACGCCATTAGACTTAGTAAGAGACGGTGATCAGGATGTAGCCGATCTTTTACGTGGAAATAGCGCCCTTCTGGATGCAGCAAAGAAAGGCAATTTAGCTAGAGTTCAGAGATTAGTTACACAAGACAATATTAACTGCCGAGATGCGCAAGGGCGTAATAGTACTCCGCTACATTTGGCCGGTACATCATTTTAGAATACATAAATACAAATAATCTCTCTATTTTTAGAAAAATATAATTAAACATCTTTGTCATATTTCTTTTTACTTTTATTTTATTGCGAAAACTTATATATTATGTTAACAATTTTAATTCAAATTTTTAGTAATTCACATAGATACAATAAAGAGATTTTGTATATTTATATATTTGTAAAGAAAAAATATGTTTTATATTTGTGCATATGTATACATGTACAACTGTGTTTTTTTCAACAGCGGGGTATAATAATTTGGAAGTGGCTGAATTCTTGCTTGAACGTGGAGCTGATGTAAATGCGCAAGATAAAGGCGGCCTTATTCCTCTACATAACGCGTCGAGTTATGGCCATTTAGACATCGCAGCCTTACTCATCAAATATAATACTGTAGTGAATGCGACTGACAAATGGGGATTCACGCCGCTTCATGAAGCGGCACAAAAAGGTCGAACGCAACTGTGTGCTCTTCTACTTGCTCACGGTGCTGATCCCTTTTTAAAAAATCAAGAAGGGCAAACCCCTGTAGATCTAGCTAGTGCGGACGACGTGAGATGTTTGTTGCAAGATGCCATGGCTTCTCAGCAAATCGTTCCATCGGTACCGTCAGGCAACATGGTAAACAATGCTGTTGGCAGTTCTGTTAACAGTAGGCCACCTAGTATCGTATCTGGTAAGAACTGTTTATAATTATAAATTATTTTTTTAAAAAACCTTCCATTCTCTTTCTTATTATTTAAATACGTAGAATGAAATATATTTTGTTTTTTACATCTCTTAATGTCTTAATTTTTATACAATAGTTGCTGAATATAATTGCGTTACGAACAACTATATTTCTTGTTTTTGTTTCTTTATCTGAATATATTTATACTTGTAACCTTCGCTTTTTTTCTAGTTCCTGTTACACCGCCACCACCTCTCACACAAGAAACAGTCATTATGCCATCTGGCGCAGCCATGACTCTGTGTGTGCCATTGGCTCGTCCGACGTCGTGTCTAAGTCCGATGCCGCCGAACGAGCCATGCTCTGAAAAAGAATCCAAAGATATATGTAAAGATCACAACGGTACCATCACGACCGTCGCTGGCTTCCTGCAGAGTCTCGGTTTGGAACATCTACTCGAACTCTTCGAACGCGAACAAATCACTTTGGATATATTGGCAGAAATGGGACATGAAGATTTGAAACAAGTTGGAGTATCAGCTTATGGTTATAGGCATAAACTAATTAAAGGTATGGACAAATTGCTGAACACAGCAGCTGGCTCCCTTTGGCAGCCTTCCATAAATCCCGGAACATTGTTAGTGGATTTACTAGCAGAAGATAAAGAATTCTTGGCTGTTGAAGAGGAAATGCAAAGTACTATTAGGCAACATAGAGATAATGGCCATTCTGGCGGTATTTTTTCACGATATAATATAGTCAGAGTAAGTATTTAATTGATATCAGAAATGTAATATGATAACTATCTTATTTTTATTCGTAGCTTTGTAATTAAAAAATATTTTATGTAGATACAAAAAGTTCAGAATCGCAAGTTGTGGGAGCGTTACGCTCACAGAAGACAAGAAGTGGCTGAAGAAGTTGGTGCCGCTGCTCCCGCTTCTCCTAGTACTGGACCTAGGGGTATTCCTAGTTCGACGGTATCGCAAGCAAATGAGAGAATGTTGTTCCACGGCAGTCCATTTATCAACGCTATCGTTCAAAAAGGTTTTGATGAAAGACACGCATATATTGGCGGAATGTTTGGCGCCGGTATATATTTTGCGGAACATAGCAGCAAGAGCAATCAATATGTTTACGGTATATGCGGTGGTACTGGATGTCCTGCACATAAGGACAGAAGCTGCTATATTTGTCACAGGTAGGTTAAAGAAAAGTAAAAACAGATTTTTACGACAAGTTTCTAAAAGTTCATCAGTAACAGCAATTTTCACCATTGACATGAATTAAATTTATCTATTGTACTTTTCTTCTTTTTCTCTTTTATTTTTTTAGAAATAACTTCTGTTATTAAACCATTTCTATTTATAATTCTTTTTAGGCATTTACTGCTCTGTCGAGTTACGCTCGGTAAATCATTTTTACAATTTTCGGCAATGAAGATGGCACATGCTCCTCCTGGTCATCATAGTGTAATGGGTAGGCCGTCACAGGGCGGTTTAGTATTTCCCGAATACGTTGTTTACAGAGGCGAACAAGCGTATCCAGAGTATCTTATCACGTACCAAATCGCGAGACCTCAACAAGAAAGCGGTGGTAGTGACGGAGTTGAGGAACGGTGATCGGAGCCGGGTCCCGCGGCGCGATTGCGCAGCCTCTGTTGCTGTCAGAGACCGAGAGCATGCAGCGCTTTGTCGCGGACGTAAAGTTGCTTCGTCTAACATCAGTTCTTCCATTTTTAACTGATTAAAATAGTATTCGCGAAATATTGTGTGTATATGCATGTATACATATGTGTACATGTGTACATATGTGATCGATACATGCACCTAAAATATTTTATTCCAAAATAATTCATTCTTATTAAAAGAAAGGAAATGATAGAATGTAATAGATTTCTTCTAGCATTTAAACCGATACTATTAGAGATCAACCCGTTAGATGGGAAGGAATGAATATTAATCGTGATGTGTATATATCGATACAGATTACAGTGTGTGTCTCTTACATCAAATTTGTATCGATTAGAGTGTGTTCCTAGGATTAGTCAATATTAAAGAAAATTACAAAATATTCGTATACATTTGTATACGTGTAAAGATTAATTAATTTATATTTCAACTGCAAAAGATAAAGGTAAAAGCTAATTTTGATCTTGAAAGTATACAAAATCATCGAAAAATGTAATTTACTCATCGTCTCCGACACGATATATAGTAATTTGTATAAAGTAAATTTATCTATTTGATATGTACATTATAGGTAAAGTCTGCAATGTGATGAAATATATATTTATATGTACAAATAGAAATGTTTTTTTTTAATATAGGATATTAATATATTTATAATGATTATAAAATTTGTGCATTATAAATAATTTTGTACTTTTATTTCGACAAGCGATAAAAAAAAGACATTTAATTGTATCATTTACAATATTCTTCACATAGTATGAAGTTTCTCGTTTAATTATTGATTCATGTAGCTAAATCTTTTGCATTTCGGACTTTACTTGCGATGTGTATAAACTTATAACATCACTATAAGTATTATAATGTAAATAATTTATGATTATCTATTCTCTTATGATTCATAAACATAATCAATGGGGTTCCTATAATTCGATAGAATAATCTTTCAGACACTATATAGTCTTTTTTTACCAAGATGATATAATAGCTATTTTATTAACATCGATCTGTTCTTGGGGAAATAATGATGTCGACAAATATGACAAGTTGTTTGGAAAACTTGTACACATTATCGACGGCGTGTAATACATAACTACAAAATATTGTGGCAGATTGAACTATTTATAAACAAATTACTAAATATAGTTGAATTAATTTGACTTCGGCATACACGCCGTTCAAAGGATGATCTTTTAAGAATGATCAAATTTAAACGAAAGATATCGAAGACATTTTCTGATCTCATTATTATCATTAAAAAACGTCGTCTTTAACGTCGTTCTTCACGACACTTTTAAGATGCGAAATTATTTCATAGTTCTAAAAAGTTCTAAAAAGAAAGAACTATGCAAATATATGTATATGTATAAAAATAATACGATTGTGTAGATAGCAAAGAACGAACACCATTTACAACCACAACAGCTATAGTCTTAATACTTATTCTCGGTGATGGTAATTTCTTTTTGTGTTTTTATAGGATGTTCACTTTAAGCCAAGTGCTACTGATTGTCTATGACTACACTAGACACGAAGTAGCAGCCAATGACTTCTCTGCGCTGTTGTATCTGCTCTAAAAATCTGATAATACAATATTTTCATGTAGGGCAGACATGCAACATAATCGGAGTAATACTGAAGTGCATACATATTACCACTGTGTTCTAATTGTAAGAGAACGAGAGACTTATAAAAAAAACAATGATTTTCTTTAATTGTTAATACGTGAGTTTTTTGTCTTTCTCTTCTTCTTTTTTTTTTTTTTTTTTTTTTTTTTTAATTTTCTTTCCCCTGATTTTGATACTCTTGGAAATAATATATACAGAAGACAAAACACTTGTAGAAACACATGTTCCTCTTTCCTCTTTCTCCGCATTTTATGAATTATTTGTTAACTTTAAATTTACTTCGGCCTAAATTTCGGTTTAATTAAAATTCAATCAGCGGATCTTTTTATGAAAATCTCGTTTCTGCTCGAATATGCGAACAGAACATTGATGTCCGCTGATATCGCAATCGTCTAATGAATATCATTAAGGATCAAGTGAACGTGACACGCGTGTTATATCACATCACAATATATATCACAATATGCGATTTATAAAAGCAACTTCGTAAACAATTTAATCTTCAAGATTATGTCTCTGCATATATACGTTTCGGCTGTCTGTTCGTCATTACCGTTAGTCGTTGACACTTCCTTCTTTTTTTTTCAACTGATTTTTTGACCCACAGAGTCACGTGACATTTGCACTTTATGAGCTATCGTTCGTACCATGTTACATCATTCGCGGAAATTTTTAAATGTCACAATTCCTTATATATAAGAAACATGCATATATCAACGTGAATGTAATACCGATGCATCACAAACACATGCATTAACATAACGACAGATCCAATTATACCTATATTATAGCTTCGTTATGTACAATAGATAATTTATTGAAGTGCGCGCGCACACACACACATATATATTTCTCTGATGCATGTATCCTCATAGATTAGAGAAGAGAACAGAATAATGATCTTTGCTTATTATTTACTCATCAAATAGCTTCATTTCTCTTCGATATTATCAGGCCGAAAATTTTTCTAAATTAAAATTGAATTAATTAAATTA